TTGTTGTTATTAAATGCCATAAAATCTTAGCAACATTGCAGAGGGTTTCCAAGGGGCAGCTGGTGGGTTTGAACCACCAATCTTGCAGTTAGTAGTCCAGTGCTTACACTACAGAGCCACACCAGAACTCCATTAATATTGGATTAGTGGAATTATATTCTCAATGTCTATTATGAAATAAACAACTGCTCTGAAAAATAATCATTTCTACATTAAATTTCTACATTAAGTTACTCGTTAACAACTGAAGGTGCCACCCTAACTTGAAATTCATTCTATCAAGAATTCAGTGTCCTTTTTTTTTTTTTTTTTCTGACAGTTTCTCATCACCCAGTGGGTGATACTAGCCTGATGCTACTAAGTAAACACACTTATTTCCTCCTACCTCATCTGCTGCCTTCATTATTGCATTAGCAATGTTTGGATCAAGGCCATAGTCCTGGTTTACTTCAGCAGCTGCTCGCTTTAAGATGCCAAAAGCTTTAATAACTGGGACCTAAAATTAATCAGAAAAATATGTCAAACTTGCCATTTTGGTTAAGCAAAAATTTGAATGTATTGCTTTGTGTAGTATAAAAATGTATACCGGACAGTACTATTATGATCCCAAAATATTTAGGACTGCAAAAGATTAAAAGGTAGGTATATAATTAACCGAAATCACCAATACATATATTTGTTTAAAACACAAGAAGCAAATAAATTTGCTCTTCATGTGTATATATCTAATACAAAAGGACACATGCATGCACATATATATAAAGCACCATCCTGTTTTTAAAATATATCCACTGTAAATTATATTTCATATACTATATGCAAAACAAATATGATTCAGCTATTGCACCAACAAGCATCATTATCTTCCTCACTGGGTCCCATGTTGCATCATGAATTCTTCACTCTTTTAAAACAAATTCAATGACAATCAGTATGAGAAAATTAGTTACTAAATATGGTTTCAATTCATCTCAAAGCCAAAACACTCAATGATATAATAGATGGCTGGTGCAGCCTTTTGACATTCAAGTCACTGGAAATTTCTGAGAAGACATTTCTAAAAAGCCAGGTTTCTTCAGACTTAAAATGTATATAAGCATATATCCAACTCTTGTAGTTAACAGATCTTTTAATTTGGTACCCCATACAAAGTTAAAAACGAATGGTTTAAAATCAGGAAAGGTGTACACCAGGGTTGTAGTCTTTCACCATACTTACTCAATCTGTACTAAATCTAAAAGGATAAATGAGACTTAATGAAATGCTTTTCAGTTTCTATAACAAGTAAATTATGAGTTCTTATCAAAATTAGTAGTAAAGAATATGGTATAGATCCCACACCAGAAGAAAGAGCAGAATGGAAATAGAAAGAGTTAAGGGAAATGAAAGAATGAACTTATAAAACAGAAATTATAGTCCTTGGAGAAGAACCAAATTAAAAACAAAAAACAAAGAAAAGTTAGGAATCATACAGACTAAAACTAGGCCAAAGGATGAGTGTAAGTTGAGGAACAAACAGAAAAGGATATAATAACAGAAAAAAATATATTTTGAATTTCAAGAAACTAAAATGAAGACATAACAAATGTATTACTCAAACAAAACGAGACCAAACAGCAGACAGGATTAGAAACCTTAAAAGCTTTAAACATGAAAACAAATGAGAATTTAGATTTCTACAGGAACAAACACTGTGGCAGTGGGTTGAGTAGCTACCAAAGTCTTAACTGAACACTGATCACCACTGACATCTGACTGGAGTGACTAACACCAAGGTATATGGACTCAAAAACAAAAGAAAACAGGCGTTTCACTGACCACCATTAAAACAAAACAGTACAGTATCATTAGGGAGAAAGGAAGGGTCACAATTTATTTAGATTAGGAATTCATAATCTTTTTTGTTTCATTTTCCTTTAGATTTCAGGGACAAAATGTTGAGTTTAATCATACTACTCTGTGCAGAAGATCAGTATTTGTGCCAATTCCAAAGAGAGGTGACATGACAGAATACAGGTATCATCAGATAATATCATTAATATCACATGCAAGTAAAATTCTGCTAGAGATAATTCGAAAAGCTGTAATAGTGCACTGATAGGGAAATGCCAGAAACTCAAGCCACATTCAGACAAGGACGTGGAACACAAGATATCACTGCTGACTGTCAGAGAGATCGTGGCTGAAAGCAGTGAACACCAGAAGGATGTTTACTTGGACTTTACTGACTATACAAAGACATTCAATTGTGTGGGTCATGATAAATCAGTTGTATGCATCATGATAACAATGCAGGAATAAGTGTTTCAGAACACTTAATTGTGCTCATGATGAACCAATACACAAAATAAAGGCAGTAATTCAAAAAGAACAAGGGGACACCGAATGGTTTAAAATCAGGAAAAGTGTACACCAGGGTGCATTCTTTCACCGTACTTATTCAATCTGCACGCTGAGCAAATAATTCAAGAAGCTGGATTATACAAGAGCGAGTCAAAAATTAACCTCACTCCAGTTATACTAAAACACCCATCCACATCCACAGGCTGATGACACCATTGAGTGTGCACATGAAATGACTCTGATGAATAGATGAATAGTGGATTATGTGGCAAATCATTTGCAAATCAGCCATGGCTTTGCCTATGAACTAATCCATGGCAGACTTGGGTTTCAAAAAGTTTGTGTGAGATGGGTACTGAAACAAGTCATGAAAGAGCACAAACAGAAGCGTTTGGACAACTGAAAGTAAGATTTAAAAGTTTCTTAAATAACGAATAAACAAAGCACATTACTGGGGACAAGACATGGATTCATCACTACAAGGCTGAGAGTAAACAGTAGAGTATAGAATGAAAACATCCTTAATCACCGACCACGGAACAGTTCAAAAGTCAACCATCAACTGGTAAATTGATGTTTATAATTTTCAGGGATGCAACCTAAGTGCTTATCAACAGATGAATGGATAATGAAATGTGATGCATATTCTATATGATTTCATTTTTGAAATAACAAAAATAGGTAAATATATAGAGACCAATTATTACTAGTGGTATCTAAGGCAGGAGAGGAGAAGGAAAGAGGCAATCATTCTCTGGAAAGTAATGAGTTTGTGTGTAGTGATGGAAAACTGGCATCAGTTAAGAATAATAGTTATACAAGATGATTAATGCAACCGGTATCAGTAAGTTGTACACAGACAAAGGGCAAAGTGGCAACTGTTGTGTTAAGCGGTAGGTATCCCCTGCGTGTCAATAGTTTGCTTTATACCACTTTGATTTCATGAAAGACCAACATTAGTACCTAGTTCCACTAACCAAAAAAATTAGAAAAGAAATTTTCGCAGGTGCTGATACTACTTGGTTCCAACCCAACAACTCATGAGGTTAGTTAGTTCTCCTGGATTAAAGTTTTAGGGTCATGACTTTGGGAGAAGAGCCTGTCAATTGGCCTAACATGTATTTTAGTTTTTGCTCTACCCTCTACTAGCTGGGATCTTAAAATGAGTATCCACTCAAGATATATAACAATTAATTTCATATTTTCCTGGAACAGCAAAGGAGACAGGACTCATAGAAGGAACAGCCTCTGAGGAGCGACTAGTGAGTTTGAACGGCTGACCTTGTGGCTTAAATCCACCGTGTGGTTGAGAGCTTATCCTGCTGCATCAACTGGCAAAGACACCAGAGGAACTGGTTGATACTACTATTTAACCAAAGAATCAATAGTAAATCCTAATCCGAAGGGAGAAAACTGGAACAGAATTTCAAATTCTGATGGAATTCAGACTTACTGGACCCACTAAGTTTGAAATAACCCCTGAATTTACTGCACTGAAAAAATCTTTTAAAACCCTGAACCACAACCATTCCACGAAGCCATCTTTAAACTAAACAACAGTCTAGTTAAATTAGCACAGAATGTTCACCTTGAGCACTACATTCTATTAAAGAATTATGGATAGAAAATCAAACTGGCAACAGTAACTCAAAAACATACATGAGAAGTTTAGAGTACAGTTTGCCTAAAACAATGGTGGTGTAACAGTATGCACAGAGCAAGAATGGGGACAAGAAGAATGCAATCAACGTCACTGAACTAAACATATAGAAATTCTTGAATGGTATATAAGGGAGTTTCAAAGATTTGTGGAAAGTGGAATGAAGAGATATTGAAATTTGTATATTTTCACAATAATACAAATCACAAAAGGATAAATTATGCCCAAACATAGGTAAATCCAAAGACCAATGATTACTAGTGGCTATCTGAGGCAGGAGAGGAGAAGGAGAGAATGAATCATTCAACAAAACAAACAAAAAAGGCTGGCTGACTGTTATCTTATCATGCACTCCTCCACTGTCTATTTTTCATACATACATGTAACGTATTCCATCAATCCTTTCCAGACTTAACACCTCTGAAATCAAGATGCATGCTGGCTGCAATTGATAGCATGTTACAACTTCAATCAGCAGTCTTTTCTTTCACAGTGGTAAATATCTGGGTATCTTTCAAATGAAGGCATTTCAGCTTTAATGAACTATAGTATAAAGTTTTCGAATTATTACATCATTCATGTGATATTAATTTTAATAACAAATTATCTATCATATACCTGATATGGTAAAGAATAATACTTGATGCATTAAAGGAAAATGAAGTTTTAAATCAGTAAAAGATTTTAATTTGAGCATTGAAATGAAAATGTTTACAAATTGTAAAAGCCTGCCAAAACCCCCCAAAATCCTAATAAGAATAAGAAGAGAAATCACTTAGTTCTATCATATAAAGAATACAAATACGTAAAGCCCCTAATAAGCAACATACAACAATAACAAACCTCAAAAAGTTCTAGCTTTGAAATTTGAGATATTACTCACAAAAGCAATTAGATTCTAATTCTGTAAAATACGTATTTACGAAGTAAAATGGCTTATTTGGATAAAGCCTAGGTCATCCAAAATAAACAGCATGTCCACAAAACGCACTTACTGGCATGCGTTCTGTCACACCACCAATCTTAAAGTTCATGGTAGATCTCACAGTCTGGGCACCATAATACTTATCACTTGGGACCTTGAGTTCACCAAAAGTGTCATATTCCGTCCGAAAGGAATTTTGGCTTGCCTAAAGACAAGAATAAAACACTGTTAAAACTTGTAAAGAAACCAAGTCCCAAAAGCAATAATGTCATACCAGCTATTATTATTGGTGTTAAATACCCTGGCTTGGTTCCTAGTCAGAGTGGCCTGTAAAAGGTTACGGGCATAGAAAGTCTCATCTTTCTTCTGCATATGAGCTATGTCGTTGGCGTTAAGTGCCGTCAAGTTGGTTCCCACTCATAGGACCCTGTATAGGGTTTCCGAGGAGTGGCTGGTGAGCTTGAACCGCCCACCTTAAGGTTCAAACTGACCTTGAGGTAGAGCGCTTATCCTATGGTGCCACACCAGGACTCCATATCAGCTATTAATGGTAAAGAAATCTTAATAACTAAATACCAAAAACAAAAGAAGAGGAGAAAAAAACAAACCAAAAATATAAAAAACAAAAATTGCCACACAACTGGAGCATTTAGTAACATAAGTAGAGAAAAGATTGACACTGTAAAGGAGTTCATTTTACTTGGATCCACAGTCAATATGCATGGAAGCAGCGATCAAGAAATCATGATGTAATGCATCAGTCAAATCTGCTACAAAAGACCACTTTAATGTGTTAAACAGCAAAGATGTCACTTTGTGAAAGTTGGGCAACGAATAAGAAGACTGTAGAAAAACCAACGCATTTGAATTATGGTGTTGGCAAAGAATACTGAAAGTATCATGGACTGAAGAAGGACAAACAAATCCATCTTAGAATAAAATAAGTGCAGGCAGAACACTCCTTAAATGTGAGGATGGC